AGGTATCGCATTTAAATTAACACCACAGACAGTACATATCGTTGCCATCTGCAGAATACAAAATATATTTATTGTTTTTTCACGTTAAGGAACAAATTAACTCATGGGAGAAGATTTCTAATAGTGTTCAAGTACAGCACGTCATTAAAAGAAAACCTTTTTTTTTTCGGTTCACGATTTTGGGACGTGTTTCTTTTAGCCTGTACACATTTTGGTAAAAGAAACTTGTTTCGAAGTTCTGCACCTCTGAATACGCAAGAATACAACACTTCCGGCGAATTCTTGATAGTTTTTTTTTCTCCAGCTTTCTATCCCCGCATTTATTTATTTATTTATTGTTTTTTTTTTTTTTTTTTTACTATTGGCGCAGGTATTTAGGTCGAAAAGACATAGCTTTGAACTTCCGAACCACTAAGCATGTGACGAGTAGTGCCTTCTGACAACGAGTTTCTAACAATGACCATCTACGCAATCTTTTATGCAGTGAAGAGCGACAGTAGCTATACATATGCATAAATAATTTCAGATTAAAATAAGCTCGACCACGCCCTCTTTCCCCGTATTGTTTTCTTTAACAGGAAATATCTGGAAGGGAAGAAAGGAACTGAAGGCCCCCCCCCTCCCCCCCGCTACCCTGTTACCCCCCGTTTTTCCTCTTCCGACGCCACTTGTATGGTAGAACGCTCCTCGACCTCGAGTTGTGTCGGCTTTTTGCGAGGCGATTCCTCCGTCTCAGAAAATAAACCTCCAGGACAATTACAAACTTAACTTACTATATGCGAGCGTCACTCGGGCGCCGTTCGATCGGATTACTACCAGCGTGCAAGGGGTGGCGAGGTTGTTTGCCAGGTCGCTTCAAGGTTTTTCTGAGCCTCAACCTCCTGCTCGTCCCTGGCCGTTTCGAACTGGATGAGTCTCGTAAAACAGTGTGTTCGTGTGATCACTACTGCGTGATGCAGGTTAAAGACCCCCCACCCCGGGCTGGCGGTCACAATTACTGATCCATGGTCACACGTCACTCTGCACTGGCAAATATTCCAATTCCAGCACATCCGGGACACTCGTCGTCTCATTTAATTGCCTGACCAACTTCGAAGAATCTAGATATCACACCCTAACTTTTCTAAACTTGATTTTGTGAAAACCAGTGAGTCGTGAAAACGTTATTTGAAACAAACTGTGGAGGAACTTGAAAACCGGACTTCGAACTTTGAAAACTTGGACAAGAAAAGAATTCGAACCTTCAAAGTTTTTTTTGTTTTTTTTTCGAATTTAGCGTTAAAAGAGAATCGAAACCTTCGAACTTTTCGAACTTTATGCAGAAAGGAATTCGAAATCTTTGAAATGTTCGAACTTCATGTATATAAAAATTCGAAGCGTTCGAAATTTTCGAATTTTATTTCCAGAGAATTTCGAAATCTTCGAATTTATCGAACCTGAAGAAAAAAATATATTCGAAATATTCGAATTCGAAATTTTAGAAACCGTGAAAGCTTGGAACTTTTCGAATTCGAAACTCCACGGTGATTGAAAGTTGCAAATTTTTCGAATTCGAACCTCGGTCGGTACGAAAATATCGAAATTTTTCGATCTCGAACCTCAGTTCGCTTCGCAAATATCGAAACCTTTCGAAATCGAACTTGGGGTGGTTCGCGACATCCCTAGTATAGACCACTTACAACGTAACCGCTTAGAGTGCAGGACCGGGTATAACGCGGCTTTTTTAAACCACCGGTTCGCCTCCCATAGAACTCCATGTAATTAAATGCCGCTTAAAATGCAGGCGCGCGAAGGGAAATACCGGTTATAGTGCGGTTTTTGAAACAGCCCGCCGACCGGCGCAGCGAGCACGCTTCCCTGTGCGACACTAGATAACGGCACTAGCCGCAAGCGGCACTCGCGGGGCAAGGAGGTTGCTCGAAGAAGCGGGGAGAAGCGAAGAGAGAAGCTTCAGTCGCCTTAGCGACAGAAGGAAGCACGCACGTGTCGTTCACGTGCGTGCGTCCCTCCGCTGCGTTGGAAACAACTGCAACGACAAACCAATCGCAGGTCGAGCAGAGGCAAAGCTATGGTAGAGGTGTTCGCGCGCGTTGCATGCCGGTCGCGGGGCAGCTTCTTCTATCCGCAAACATGGCGTCGGTTGTGATCGTCGACGTAGACGGCGTGGTGGAAGCTCATCGTTCCGCGTAAAAGCGCTATCCTTGACTGTGAATTTTCATTGTGTGTCGCTATGATAACCCAACACGTACCAGAAGGGAAGATCCACATACTCGTGCGGCGATGTCGTGGCGGCACTCTCAAGACGGCAGAAACGCCCGTGTCGTTGTGTTTGTTTACTTCGACTACAATGGTGCTTTCTAAGCATTTGTGTTTTCGAACATCACCCGGATTTCTTATTTGGAGCATTTCATGCCTGTGCTCAAGTTGAAGGTATTACTGGCGCGTACCGTATAAAGGATGCGAATTTTCACGCATTTTCATCACCGGAGAAAAGTGATTAGGGTTAGCAATCCTGAACGCTCGCAACGTCCGTCCACAACCCGCGACGCCGTTAAAAGGCTGCGCCAGGCAAAAGTCGCTCATTTCTTTCAAAATGTGTGACACACTTGAGAGAGAAGTGGACTAGTCTGGTGAAATAAAGAGTTTCCTCAAACTAAGCTTTATTTTTCATCTAACATAAAATAAATTATTTTACAAAGGTAAGTTGTCTCATGGCAAGTATTTTGGCCTGAAGAATCAGTGTTTTGGTTATAGCGCGGTACCGCTTATAGTGCGGATTTTCGCGACTCCCGCGACATACGTTATATGCGGCCTACACATGTAGACGCATTATTTATGTGCAAGGCCTTCGCGTCTGCTTTCCCACAGGGTACACACACAGCCAATCGTCGCGTTGCACATAAATAACGTACGAATAACTAGGCCGAGAACTCGATTCTCCATAAAAAATGCAATCTTCTCAGGTGGTTTCCTTACATGGAGACGTCATCCCTGTCTCGTAAATCGCTGGAATCATGCTGTCGATCGCGGTGATTGACAATGCGCAGAAAAGCGGACCTTCAGGTTTTCTACATAAACAGTGGGCTATTATTCGAGTAAATATGGTACTCTGAGCACTGCCCCATCAGCCCTCAAATTTTACGACCGACTAGCCGCACGTGAGTATTTCAGCCCCCCTGCGGTGCACCATTGACAGTGCAGAGATGTCTCGATTCAAATCCTAGCCTGAAACGTTGCCCATGCCGTTCTTTGGGCAAAACATAAATTTCCCGAAATAATGCCGTAAGGTTGCTCCCCGCTGTTGAGACCCCAAACTGCAAGGTTGAAAGACATCTGTAACAAAAGGTGAAAGAGGTAACAGAAAAGTTTTTGTTTCATACGCAACCACAAGCCTGTTTGCACAGCCTAGGTTATGTACAATGCGCAACACTGCTAGCTCGAACACGACGTCGGCGCTTTCCTTTAATTTTTCTCTGACAGACTGTTGGTAAGCACCAAATTGTAGCGCTTAGGTAGCTTCCCTGAATGTGTGCTTTCACCACATGAGTAGTTCTTGTGGCAGCCGTTCAGTTCTTAGACAAAAATGGTAAAAACTGGAGGATGCTCGTTTGCACTAACAGTGTCGTGTTGTGTGGTTCCCATCTGCGTGCTGCTGCAGTTCTTGGATCCGATTGCTGTTCTCTTACCATTGATTTTGGTTCAGATAATGATGCTTTTACATGTATAAAAATGACAGCGAATGAAGGAAAATTTCTTGGGACGCCGGGAGATTCCGACTTTTTTTTGCTCATACTTGTTCTTGGTTCGGGCCATGCGTTATTTGTGCCATACGTCAATACAACCCTTCATCACATACAAATTTCCACTTTTCTTCTCTTTTATGCCCCGACTCGTATCCACAGAGCCCTACCGTTTTGGGTGAGCGTTCCGAAAGAACGCCCACCCAAAATGGAGAGATAAATGGTGAAAAACGTGGGGTGGGCTATCTTTGGGGATGCCACAGCAAAACTTTATCAAAAAACCGCCTACAAAGCATGTGACGCAGGAACTGATACCACAGATCGTGGACACCGCAAATCCGCGTTTCACTATGCGGTAAACACGCGGGAATTCGCTACAAACACCTGTGTCACGGGAAAGGATACCACAGCAGATTCGCGTTTAACAGTGCGAAGGACCCGCGGAAATCTGCCAAGAACTCGCATCTCACGGGAATGAATAGCGCAGATCGCGGATGCAGCAGATGCAAGTTTTATGGTGCAATAAACACGCGGGGCCCCGCTACAAACACGCCTGTAAGGGAACCGATATCGCGCGGGCAGATCGCGGACAAAAAGACGGGAATCCACTACAAACTCGTATGTTGCGGGAAGAAATACCGCAGATTGCAAACGCATCAGAATCGTATTTCACGATGCAATATACACGCGGGACCAACTTGGTAGAATCTCGCGTAGAATGGATCGCACACGCAGATCACGGACAAAAATGCGGGAATCCACAAAAAAGTTTATGTCACGGGTACGGATACCGCAAATTGTGGATGCAGCAGATTCGCGTCTCACAGTGCAACATACACGTGGGAACAACGCGCGTGTTACGAGAGCCGATATCGCATGCGCAGATTGCGGACAAAAACGCGGGAATCCACTAAATATTTTATGTCACGGGAACAGATACTGTGGATTGTGGATGCAGCAGATTCGCATCTCACAGTGCAACGTACACGTGGGAACAACTCGCGTGTTATGGGAGCCGATATCGCGTGCGCAGATCGCGGAGAAAAACGCGGGAATTCACTTTTACTCGCTTGTCAGACGTGCCGGTACAGCAAATTGCGTGGTTGATGCGATTCCCGTCGGGCATTGCATGACGTCCGATGGAAACCGGGGGGTGGGCGATGTTTTGGAATTTTTATGTTACAGTACAGATATTTACCCAGAAAAACGTTCTCTCGGAGCTTTACGGTATGTCTTTTTTTTTGTCTTTTAAATGTGCAGCCGGCTAGCGTCGGCCGAAGCCTCGGCTTGGCTCGGAGCCGGACTCGGAGCCGCAGCCGCCGCCTTGGCTGGGGTGCTGCTAGTGCGTCTGCTTCGAACCACTTCGCGAGACAGGTAAGCCTCGTTCGAAATCAAACTCTGATGATGGGCGTGATAACTAATTACTTTTTCGGGCTTGGAATGTGTGGCTTTAGTTAAATGGCTGTATAGGGAACTTCACAAGACCGGCAGAAATTTTCATTGTAAAAGTCGCTCGTTTGTAAAGCGGAGTGGAAAGCATACGAAATAAATTGGTAGTCGTTGCGTAGTGGTGCAAATGCGTGGCATAGGGGCTCTTTCCACGCAATTTAATTGGTTTTGCTTAGATCTTGGCATCGGGGGGGGGGGGGGGGGGGGGAAGTTGCAGCGTACGTAATGAAAAACCTGCGTATCATACTGCAGACCTTTAGACTGGCAGAAGTGCTCGGATATAGTCGGGTACTTTGTCCTCACCTCCGACCAAGAAACATCTTGACTGGTCTTACGTCGAACCACTGAAAAACAGGCGTGTCGCAATGTTCGATCCTGTTCTTAATAGGAAACTCTTCCGCGTAACAATCTACCGTAAAATACGGGGGGTGGATCACACCACTTTCGCTGAAAACGGGGTTAATCTAGACATGGGCGCTTGTCCAGTCAATTCGGGCGCCTAATGTATAATTTTCAAAATTTCCAAGTTTGGAAAATGTTAATAGTGGGCGCCTGAACAAAGTGGGCACTTCCACAGTAGTTTACGATAATCTTGGGTTGTTTAGAACGCTTAGAGAACGTAGACTGAGCTAGGATCATAAATAAACAATCTCCAAAACCGCTTTAGTGCCCCTTTAAGGCTATTCGATTTCTCTAACGCTTTTCTAACGTGAAACATTCTTTGGCTAGCTGCTCCAGATTTTGTGAAGCTGCATTTCATGAAGCCGTGGGCTGTGGGGACCTAAGTTTCCATGCTAGATTTAGTGGGAAAATGGATGTTATGTGACCTCATTGTCAATTCAGTTTCCCTGCTGAATTTAGTGGGGAAAATTATGTCACTTGACTTCATGTTATGTGGCTTATACACAAATTCAGTTTCCTCGCTAAACTTAGCGGAAAAATTGATGTCATGTGGGGGAGGGAGCGAAAACACCTGAAGGAACAGCTTGAGAAGTAATGCCTGGAGGTTGCTGGCACTAAACCAAAAACGTTACTCGTAGCAACACAATTGGAAAGCAATTTGCGGCATTATTTTTTTTTTACTAGTGCGAACAATAGCCGAGTTTCCCGACCAGGAATCTCTAACACAATGTCGATGCAGACAGGAGTGAACGTGCGTGTGTGCGGTTTGCAGGTAGCGAGAGGACCCAACCACTGCCAGTGCTGTCGTCTTCGCCAGTCCTGCCCTCCTTCCCGCCCTCCCTCTTACCGCGAGGCCAAGTCTGAAGGGTCCTGGCCAGACCCCCCTATCCCCCGAGCACCGGCACAACGACCGTTCCGGGGATGTGCTGCTGTCACATAAAGTCGAGTTTCTAGCGTTTTTCATCTAGCGCATTCAACCGTCTCTTTATTCGACACGACGACTGCTGCAATCGCCGCAGATTGATTCGGTGCTGGAGCTTCCAAGCCATCATAGTCGTCATGCGGTGACGGAGGCTTCGGTCTGTCGTGAGAGTGGATTCGATGGTACTTGGCTTTGTGCTGAACCGAGGTTGTTTGCACTAACGGGTGTCCTGGCGTTGTATGCCCACTCCAAGAGACGGGAAGGCGTCAACAAAGTGAGCGAGATGTCTCTGTCTTCTACAGTCCACACTAGGGTGAGACGGAGTTAGCTCGCCTGTATGCCATTCAGCATGCCAATGGTAGTGGTTCTAAGGGTACTCTAAGACTCTTTAAAGGCTGGTCTGCATTAGCGTTTGGGTGTGACCGGACCCGCTTATGGCCGCCTACGGCGACGGAACAACACTGGCGCCATTCATCGGGCAACCCTGCAACACTTCCAATCCGCATACGTTTCGGAAATTTTTACGCATTATTCTTTCGCCGTGGGTTTGAAATACTTTCGACAATGTTACTAGTAGGATTCTGTGTTGTCTGAGGCTGTTTCTCGTGGAATTCGGAGCGGAATTTTCCGAGTTCATTTTTCGCCGAAAATTCTGGGTCTGAGTTAATTCCGGGCAGATTTCAGATTCTCTCAAATTCAGAGTTTATTTCTACTGTTGACCCAATTTTTCAAGATTTAAAAACAAAATAAACAAAGTCCGGATTCATACATACGCTAAATTTGCAACAATTCTCCTGTGGCAGATGATAATACTGCAGCTGCATTTGACGTTGGTGTCCATTGCCATTGGAAATACTATCCCACAACAAATATTGTGAAAAAGTGCTGCCTCAGTGACAGTTCATACTTTGAAATAACTAATTTCCTGGAAGTTTGTCACTGGAAAGCATGAATGCTTGAGCTACCTTCCCGCTCCATTTATATCTAAGGGTTCGTAGCTTTCGCTGTCATAAAAACACTACCTTTCTTCCTCTAAGAAGTGAAAATAGTATGGTTCAAACTGAAAACTTAAACAATGGCTTTGGCAGTGACCAAGTGGTACCATGGACCATTGTCCTGGACAAACATTGACAAGCTGAAACATAAATCCTCTTTTGTCAGTGTCCAAGATTTCAAAAGAAAATTAAAGTGATCACTCTTCAGGACCACTGATCTTGTGCTCTTATACAATCTATTTGAAAAACAGTCTTTTTTTTAATTAAAATGTGATCTATTTTGCCGTTGTGACCTTAAAATTCGAGGTTTCTCGGGAAATCCAAATTGACTGAAATTTTACTGGCAAACGTTCGGATCTATTTGAGTTTATCCAAAAACATGAAACCTTAGTTATAAGTAGACTTCTGTTTTTCCGGATAAGTCCGCTAAAATTTGAAAAACACTTGCTGCTAAAACTTCCTTACATTGGAATTATAAAAAAAAAACTCAGAATTTCGAGGTCACGATGGGCAAAAGAAACAAAAAAAGACGGTTCTCTACAAACAAGTTCGGTCAGAGCAGAGGTTCAGCAGTCATCAGGAGAAGCCTCATGAGGTTCCTTCAAAATCTCGTAGTATTGACCAAAGAAGGTTCACCGTTTATGCCGTCTGTTCATTCACGACAACAGGGCATTGTAATTCTGGGCAACGACACAAATCACTGTTTTGGTTTCCTGGTTGATCTTGGAGGAAGGTAGAGTTCCGATTTGATAACCGTGAAAGCTATGAACGCTTAAATCAGGGAGAAGTGATACAATAGGATGAAAAGAAAACAAGCTTTCAAACGCCTACACCAAGGAGTTCGGTGGTTTTAATGTGTTTTCAAGTTTTGTCGTCGGACAGTTAGTATTACTAATGACAAAGGCACCAATGTCATGTACACGTGCATTGGTGGTTGATATGTGTTTCTATTTTCGATCTCGGAAAATTTGGAAACGTAGCAAAAATAAATTTCCCGCTTTGGAGAACTTAGAATCTAACAAAAATTAGCTCCGATATACTCGGAATATTCGGCAAAAAATAAACTCCGAAAAACGCTCTTAGAATTTCACGAAAAATGAGTTCCGAAAACACGGAATTATAAGTTACCTTTTCTCATAGATAGCGTGTAAGCTCACGATAATTCAAACTCGGATATTTCATACTTTTAGATATTCTAAATAAATTTTTCAAAATTTGGTTGTCCCACTACGTTTCTGATGCGAATGACGTTTTCGTGCAATTTCTGCTTTTCGTTCTCGTAGTCCTGTTGAGCATGTTTCTTACCGACCAGTGGTGGACTGCGGAGAAGCGGCAGCCGGAAAGCTAGTCTTTGTGAGTGTTGCTTCCCCGCAGTGGACCGGCGCTCGGCAACAAGCACGCTCAACTGGGCTAATAGTCCATAATAGACAACTTTTTCGCTGGTGAACAAACTCAATTTTGTTTTGAGGTGCCATGTGCCGTGCCATCTAAACAGCTCACGATAGACACCATTCCTGAGGGACAAATAAACGTATACATTTCACCAATGTTTCATAAGTGTCATACCTGCTTATGGTTAGTAGTAGGCCTGTGTAGAAAAAATAGTGAAGTATCTGCTTTGTATGTGTAGCCATCGGTATAACAAAGTGAAATTTTACCTCTCATCATGCTTAGATAAATTCGTTATAATCCAAACAAAATTTTTGGCTTCCTGGAGTTTCAATTAATGAGAGTACTGTAGGTTTGTGCTTACTGTGAAACATTGAACGATTTGAAATATACCTTTATCAAGGAAAAAAAATACTGTTGCAATATGGCACGGCATGACAAGAAAAGAAATATTGAAATGTTTTACTGAGGGCTGTTTTTGCCAGATAGAAGACTATGGATCTCAGCCACTCGAGTCCTTTGGAATCGCCTGTAGGATTTCTCTCATGCTTGTCCCTCTTTCGCCTTGTCTAGTGGGTCCGCGGTTGCAAGTATTTCCTACCTCTTTTTTCTGAAACATTTACAGTCCCATAGGAGACGATGTACGTCGTAAATTCTAGATCTTGTCTAATTTCTCTCGCGTCTCCCATTTCTAGACGGAGTTGCAGGGTTATGCTCTGCCCGTCCTTGCCCTTCTCGAGTGAACTTTTGACACCTCCAGAGTCCAGGAGGAACCGAGCGATTGTTCATCAAGATGTCTGTTTCATAGTTGCTTCTTTAGTTGCCTTTTGGCCTTAATGATGGCTGCTGGGTTGTATTCATTACAGTTGCCGACCGATTTTTCGGACTTGGAGGGGGGGGGGGGGGGGGGCCCGAAATTGTCCAAATAATCAGGTGGTCCAAAAAATCGATTTCAGCCAAAATATAAAATTTCTCTGCATGTTGGCCACTTTCCACTTGATGTCAATTTTAAGTTCTCGTGCAACTTCCGCTTTATGTTTTTCACTTTGATCACGGTGCTGCACTTTGTTGGCGCCTTCGTTGGCATTAACAGCGAAGTTGAAGTTGGCACTATTTGGAGACAACGGTTAGTCCACCAAGCTCACTTCAATACTAAGCCTATCAGCAAAAAACCTTCATGCTCAAAGACCACAAAAATGGCAGACGGCCTCTCTTCTCACGGTTGCACTCGAAAAACACGGACCACCAGAGGAACTGGAAAAATGGGCAGATGGCAGCCATGGCGCAGTGTTGGCGCGTCGAGCGCACTTTCGGTCTAGGGCTGCGGGCGGAAGCCGCCATGGGGCAGGTGCATTTCTGTGTTACTTTGGAAGAAACCGGACAAAAACCTGCCTTCTCGTCAAAACGCCGCAACTGGGGCTTTACCAAAAGAGTCGGGAAAGGTTTGGAGGTCAGTTTTCATGCGTTTTTTTGCCCGCTCGGTTCATCCGAGAACGTGAACAGGGGCCATCAAGAAGGAAAAACAGACGCCATCGAACCACGATTACTTGGGCGGAAAGCACTTTGGATTGAATTCACGGATACTTGTGGTCGTCAGATTTATTTGTTTTGTTCCAACATGAAAGCGGGAAAAACGTCAAGTTGCATGGACCACCGGTGGACTGCGTTCAGTGCGTCATCACGTTCAAACAGCCGCCTCATCGTTTGAGCTGTCGTCTGCTCTCTCAAATGTTTCTGCGTGTCGTCTGCCGGTTCAAACGACAGCGGCCCGTAGACCAAACGTTGACCCGGTAATTGCGATAAGAAGTGCAGTCCCCAAAAGACGTTTAAGTTTAAAAGTTCCTTCGGGTAAGTAGGCTCGGTGTAAACAGTAGATATAAGGAAATGTTGATAATTGTTGCCAGTGGCCATCACCGACTTGTTATGCCTGATTCGCTCGGTTTGATTCTGCTTGCGATTTTCAGTATCGACGTCGGCATCTCACCTACGGTTCAGGCTTTTGCAGCCCGAGCGACTTCATGACTGAAAATAGCGAGCAGAACCTCACCATGTGAATCAGGCTTTAGCATCCATTCTGCAGCGTCCACGCAGAATGAATCGCCGCATGTTACATTATTCACGCCAAGTTTTGCGGTGTAACGAGCCTCGTTAATTTCGCTGAAGCCACTCAAGTAGTCAGACATTGCCAGGAAGACGTAGAATCAACACTTCCAACACGAAAAAAAGCGCGGGGACTCGCACCGACGCCAACATCCCATTCCAATGGTTTCTTTATGGGCGACGGCGAGCCTCTTGCCCACATCCCCATCGCGCATGCGCAGCGTCGGTGGCGTTCGCTAGTGGCGCTCCGGTTTGTTTGCAGACATGAGTTGGTGTATACCCTCATGCAATCAAGTTTGGTGTGACATGTTGCGCCATCTAGTTCTAAATATTTGCAACACTGGGAAGGCCCTTTAGCCAGCCTGCTTGCTCGTGGGGCTGCTCACGCATTGATTTGAAGGTGTTGATTCGTGCGTTTTTGGTCTTTTATTCTTAACATTGCTATCGGATATCGCAGAACAAACACCGAAGCTGTAGGCACTGTTGCTTACCGGACTGTCGCAACCTCGGAAGCTTAGCAGGCGTGAAGCTCCACAGGTTCCTGCTTAGGCCGTG